ATATATATATATATATATATAATAATTTCTGGCGTCATAGTAAATTTAATTTAGTTTAATTTAGTTTAATTTTTCTGCGTTTAGCTGCATCGACTGAACGTTTCGATTCGACTCGACGTTTCATATCACATCCAACTTTCAAGCTACATTTCACGCTATAGTTGCTGACTAATTTATAGTGATGAGCCAACACTCTAACGGCCGTGAGTTAGATACGAGATCACCTTTATTGCTGCCTTTCGCAGGGCTTAAACTTGCGGACACGGGCTTCTGCCAGTGTTGCAAGGCTCTAATAATAAGTCTTTCATCACGGCAGATTAATGTCGTAGCAGATTAACTTTACGCCCGTACGTACTCTTAATTATTCCGTTCCATTATTATTATATAACGTAGAGGAACATTTTTCAACAAAATTTGGATGATTTACATTTCTATAAATTAGTCTTTTCCCCTATAGGCTTCATTTAAAAATAAATTTAAAAATTCATCTATCTGAACATCTTTTTGCACTACTATTTGACCAAGTTTTCAGGAAACTATAATAATTGAAATATTTCTAGAAGCAAATGATAGTAAATATTTGGTTGTGTTATTTCATTTAATAGTAAATTTAATAGCAAATACTTTTAATAACTTGAATCAATTTGTTCAGTGTTTCATTAAATTACCAGTAAATATTTAATTTAAATTCGGATTGCAAATAATGAAACAAATCGTCCAAATGTTATACAATATTTTTTTAAATTTCTTGCAAGTTGTGTTTCCAAAGAAAAGATAAGATAAGTGTAGAATGGTAGGAACAAATGAAATTAATGTTTCTTTAGACAAGATAAAAATTCTGCGAATTTTGCAGTTGGCGAAACTAAAAAAAAAAAAAAAGGAAGAAAAGTATGCTTTGAGTTCGTGTTGGTAGAAAACGATGCTAGAGACTTGCTCGCGAATACCGGATACAAATTGTCAGAATACTAGAGAACCCAAAAATGTCGGGGCGAAAGTATCTCAGGATTTGAGATTCTTAAGAATCCTAAAATCCTCGAGATCTCGACATTCTCCAGATTGTTGAGAATTATGAAATTATACGGAGGCGAAAATCACGACTCGCACGAATGCTCGTCAGTTGCAGATCACTATGTTTCCGTGTTCATCGTTTGAATTCGTCACGAAGAACTTGCATGTTGTTAGAAACACATTGTGCATACGATCAATCATGCTTACCTGAAACATGTCACGAACACCTGCGTACTGTAATCCTCGCTTATTTAATGTAATTTTCACTTATTTACGTTACTCCAATACTGGACAACAGGGAAAGTTAATGACAAAGAAATTTTTCCTAACCTAACCTAAACAATTTTGTAGATACGATGATGGATAAATTATAAATTCACAGTACTACAAATAACTAT